AAATTGAATCAAATATAATATATTGTTTATTAAATAATTTAAATAATTTGATCAAATTAGGTTAGATTAGGTCAGGTTGAATCAGGTCAGATCGGGTCAAATAAAAATTTAAATCAGGTCAGATTTTTGTTTGACCTGATCTGGTCCTCTCAGTTCAGGTAACTTGATTGACCTGACCTGAACTGACCTGTTCAGAGCTTTAGTACGCGATGAGTATAGTTTTAGAAATCCTTTTTTACATTTTTTTCAAAAAGTACTGGACCACTACATTTTATATTACAAGTGTGAATTTGATAAGTCATTACTAAATGGTATAGTTTAGGTTCAAGATTAGGATCTAGTATATCAGATCTAATAATATTATTATTTATCATTTTTTTAATTGATTTTGTAGTCCAGTATACACTATGTATATGAGCTGCTCCTATGTTTTGAAATTCAACTCTTTAAAAAAATGATGATAAGTATCCCCATCTACTTATATCAGAATTTTTCAAATTAACTTTTTAAGAGATTATAATCTATGAATAAAATGTAATGTAGAATGTAAAGGACGATTTGTTAGAATAGTATTATGATTATCTGTTTTACTTAATATGTTGTTTAAATCCTTCCATAAAGTATCAGCCATTGATAAAGTAATAAATATTGTAGGTAATTGCAATTCTACTATTATGCTATTTAAATGCATTATTTTTTTTTGAAAATATATATTACTAGTTCTAATAAAGACAGGTAATGAAATAGTTTTCTCTTCATTATACTTATATTTACCAGTATATGAACTTTATTTAATTATTTTGATAGCATTAGAAGGATGATAATAAGTATCAGTATCATGTTGACATAATATTCATTATGTATTTTGATAATTATATAATTTTTCAAGTTGTAAGTATGATCATGTTGGCCAGTAATAATGTATCCTAAATCTATGATCTATATTTAATAATCTAAGTTTTAATATATTTTTATATGTATCTATTCTTTATTATCAATTAGTTAAATTAGAAATTATTTCTTAATAATATCTATGACCATTAGAGAATAAATTAGGAAATAGTAATACTTCAAGATCTGGATGAATAATAGATATCAGAAAAGAATTTGTTTCATCATTTTTACAATAAAATCCTACCATTAATATAGTATAATATGTATCTTCATTATGAACTTCATTAGAAAAGTTTTGTTGAAAAATAACTATATCACTAAATCTGAATAAAGAAGTATTATCATCATTAGGAATATGAGTTGCAGTTAGAAATGGTAGAATACTTTGATTTGTAAATAAATTTGAATAGCTTGAAATGTACAGATTGTTATTACATAACTAAGTAGCACCGTTCACAAGTAAAATATCAAACCAATTATGATTTCTATCATTAGGATTTGATTTAAAATTTTCCAAAAATGCACCTAGCATCCCTGAATATAATGTTAAAGATCTATAATTTTTGGAATATCCCATAGTATCAAGAAAAGATCAATATATTGTATAATTATTCATATCAGAAGTTCTTCCTAAATATGAATGCCAAAATATAAGTGAAAGATATTTTCTTTTTCATAAAGGTATATTTTCAATTTTTGAAAATATAAGATATAAATAAGAAGAATAATTTCTAAATGGATTCTTATGATATGCATTACAAATAGGTATTCTATTATTAGGTGGATTTGGATTAAAAGTAAAAGATAAATTTGGATATGCTCTGATGGAATCCAGAAGGAATATATTTGAGGCAATTGAGTTATTTGCAAATAAAAATTAAATTGTTGAACTGATTGGTCTCTGATATCATGAAATAATAAATCAGCTATTAATTTATCTTGTTGTTATAGTTGTGCTTTTTTTAAGATTCAAAAAACGTAATATGACATTTTGTTAATAATTTTATTTTTTTTGTTAAAAGATTATGTTGTATAATAGGTCTTTTATAATAATTTAGAAAATAAATAATTTTATATTATCATTGATTAGTAATTATTTATTATTATTTAATTATTATTACTAATGTTTAATTATAAAACAATGATTTTTTATTATTATTATTTGATAATTATTTAGTATTATCTAATTATTATTACTAATATTTATTTATAAGACAATGATTTTCATTATTATTGTTTAGTAATTATTTAATATTATCTTATTATTATTATTATTAATATTTATTAATAAAACAATAATTTTTTTTTATTATTATTATTTAATAATTATCCAGTATTATTATTAATGTTTGTTTAAATAAAAAACTAATTGTTTTTATATTATTAGTAAAAAAAAATTTATTTATAGATAATATTTTTTATATAATAATCCATTACATTTTTTTATTTATAAAAAAGTAAGAAGAGAAGAAATATTTACTAATACTTTAAAAAAAAAGAAAACAAAATATGCTATTATAGAAAATTTGAAAATTATATTATTTTCTTTTTCTTCCTCTTTTTGATTTTAATGTTTGTGCCTGTATTTCTTCTTATATGTCTTCATTATTAAGTTGAACTTCATCCTGAGAATCATTAATTGTATTTGGTTGAATAGATATCAAAGTATCCTCTTCTTCTTGATCTTCTTTTGGTTGAGATAAAGCTAAAGAAGAAAGCTTTGGAATCTTTAGAGTATTTGATGAAGTAGATGCTTGATTTCTCACTCTCTTTTTATTAGTCTTCTCCAAAAGAGACTTAGCTATATCCGTGGCTGATGGGGTAGAATTTGTAAAAGATTCATTTGTTTGATTCTTTTCCCAAGCATAACTTGAAGATTTGTGAGGTAAGGGTCGAGTGTTTTCAATGAAATTTATCTGTGTAAGTCTAACAAGTAGAAGTTTTTCAATAATTGATAGATATCCAGTAATATATAATGATGACCCGCGTAGAACTTTAGTTGTAATAGACAGCAGATGGTTATCATTTGGAAAGTGATATAAGTTAAATACAAGAAATTTATTATGTGTATTATCAATATATTCTCTTGCATTTAAGTTTAGAGTGATTTTATCATAATTAATTTCTGGGTTGTCAGATGCTGTGCCTACTAACACGATGGACAGTGAAGATTTTTGGAGATCCTCTTCATCAAGATTAAGTATTAAAATAATTAAAATAAACTAAAAATAAGTTAAAAGAAAAATATTATATGTTTATATGATATACCTTAATCAGTTTGATTTTTTGTTCTTCAACTTCGGTTTCAATGAAAGAAAATCTTCCCTGTACATTAATAATGTCATGTCACCTTTTTTAAATCTTTCTAAATCACCAGTCCTAGCTCCATCTTTGGATAAAATGCGACGATATGAATGAAAATATTAGTGTTTTGGTGACGAGAACTGATGACACCAAAAGCAGTGACTTGATTTTCCTAGAGTTTCGCTGTGTTGATCTATGTAACAAATGGTGTTTAAATTGCAAGGTATTTATTTTTTTTTTCGTGAAAAAAAAAGAAGAAAAAGAAAAACAATTTTTTTTTGTATATTTTAATAAAAAAAATTGAAACCATTGCTTAAATAAATAATTTATTAAAACTTTTTTATTAATTAATCATCAGTTTATGCCACCGTGAAAAGCCGAAGGATCCATCTGAAGTAACGCGCCCACGTTCGGCCGAATAGGCAGAATCAGTCCTAACCTACAAATTGAAAAAAAACTGATTAATAATCTATAAACAAATGAGTGAAATAATAAATAAGAGAAACAATAATAAAAAGAAAATTTTGTTACGCACTTGATTGCGCCACCGTGATGAACCGATCGATCCGAATTTAAAGAAATCGCCCTAGAGAGTGAAAAAAGAATTAATTAAAAAAAAAATAAAGGAAAATGGGATTAGTAATCCCAATCAATGAAAAAAAAGTCACACGCACCTGATTGCATCACAGCAATGAGCCGAAGGGTCCGTTCGAAATGCCGTCTAACCTACAAAATTAATATTATATATTTTTTTTTATTTTTTTTTCGTTATTTATTTATTTATTTTTTTCGTTTTTTTTTTTGTTTTTAATTTTCTTAATTTTTTTTTATCGTTATTTTTTTTTTCCATAATTCGCCCGTTATATTTTGTTTTATTTTTTTTATAATTTTTTTCGTTTTTTTCCTTATAATTCGCCCTCTCCCCCCGTTATATATATATATATTTTTTTGTTTTTAATTATTTTATTTTTTTATATTTTTTTCGTTTTTTTCCTATAATTCGCCCCCCTCCCCCGTTATATTTTTTTGGTTTTTTTTTGTTTTTAATTTTTTTAATTTTTTTGTTATTTATTTATTTTTTTTTTTCCTTATAATTCGCCCTATATGTATATATATATTTTTTTGTTTTTAATTTTTAATTTTTTTATATTTTTTTCGTTTTTTTTCTATAATTCGCCCGTTATATTTTATTTTTAAATTTTTTTATTTTTTTTAAAATTATTATTATTTTTTTTTTTGTAGTTTATATTTTACATTTTTTTATTTATCCTTTATATTTTTTTTATATTTTTTATTCGTCCCCCCCCCCTCCCGTTATTTTTTTTTCTTTTAGTTTTTATATATATTATTTATTTCTATATTTTTTATTTCCTATTTGATTTATTATTTTTTTTTTTGATTATTAATAATAACAATCGCGACTGCATTACCGCGATGAGCCGAAGGGTGTCACATCCAAAAGGGTGGAATCAGTACTAAAATCGAAAAAAAAAGCCATTAGATTTTGATTATTAATCAAAAATTAATAATCAAAAAAGTAAGTAAACAATAAAAAGTTACCCACCTTACTGCGCCACCATGACAATCTAAGTGGCGAATTTCCCGTTCCGATCTAACTTTTAAAATATAAACCAAAAAAAAAATAATAAATTTATTAATCAATAATTATGAACCGATTTAAAATTTAATCATGCATCTGTCTGCGCCGCCGCGACAGACCGACCGATCTGAATCTTTTTTTTAAAAAATATATTTAAACAACCTTTATTCCTTGAGGTAGAATTCCTCCTCTACCTTATCCTTTACCTTTCAATGTTAGGGTTAGTGTTAGAGTTAGTGTAAGGCAAATATAATAATAAGGTATATAATAATGGCCGGTCGTTGGCGTTACACGAATTACCTAAAAAGGAGAATTTTTTGAGAAAAAGGAAATTTTTTCATCCAGAAATTCGGTTCAAACTAATAAAATCGCACTAAATTTTTTTTTTACAATTAAACATTGATTCTCCTTTATTATAGTATGTTAAAATTTCATTGTTTTTTTTTAATTCCCCAATCTATTTTTTTTTCATTGTTTCGTTATTATTGTTATTGTTATTAATTAGTTTCATTTTTTTTTTATTATTTTCGATTTTTTTTATTAATTATTTTTTTTACTTGTTAATTTTTGTTTTAGATTTTTTTTTTATTTTTTTCTTTATCTTTTTTTTCTATATCGCTTCGTTCATTTAGTTTCTTTTTATTTTATTTTTTTGATTTTCTTTCATTATTTTTCATTATTTTTCTTTTTTTTCTTTGTTCTATTTTGTTTTCTTTTTTTATCTTTCATTATATTGGTTTTTTTATTATTATTTTTATTATTTATTTTCTTTGCTTATATTTTTTTTTCTTTTCTTTTTTATATTTACATTTCGTTTCTTTTTCTTTTCAGTTCTTTTTTTTCTTTTTAATTTTCTTTTTAAAAATTTTTTTTTACTTTTCATTTCGTTTTTAGTTTCGTTTATTTATTTTTATTTCTTTTTCGTTCTTTTTTATTTTTAATTTTAATTATTTCGTTCCTTTTTTATATTTCTTTTAATTTTCTTTTTTAGTTTATTTTTGTTTTAATTTTATTTTTTCGTTTTTATCTATTTTTTCTTTCTATTCCTTTTCTTTTATTCTTTTTAGTTATTTTTTCTTTTTTTTTTTATTTTTACTGTTATTTTATTTCTTTTCGTTTTTAATCACCCTTCGTTTTTTTTTAAAAAAATGAAAATAAAAAGAAATAAATAAAATGAAAATAAAAAAAATAAAAATAAAAAATAATTAAAATAAAATATTTCGCCGGATCTTGGCGATATATTTGTTTTTGTATTACCCGCTTACTAATTGTTCGCCCGTGATGTTTTATATTGATATTTTACCGGATTCACTATCGGAGTTGAATTATCCGTGAAAATATCAATATGACGCAATTACCGTGATATATCAAACGAAAATCGTACCGCAAAATATTTAATATATTTTATTTAATAAGCTTGATATAGAAAAATGCATTTTTTAAAATATTACATAATTACAAGCATAAATAAAGTAAAAGTTGACATTTGAAAGTGACAATTATTAAACATCGAGCCTTTTATTTACTATTATTATTGAAAGGCATATTAATTGGTAAATCTTGTGATTCAAGATTTATAATTTGTAACGGTTTCTTATTTTAATCTTGAATTTGTTGTACAGGAATAAAATTTCCTTTTCAATGCCAATATTTTTGGATGTTTTAGGTTGTAAACATGTTAAATTTTACAGTCTTCTTTGATCTCATTTAAAAAATATTGTAAAAAAAAAATTATTTATTGAAGTAAAAAGACAGTACTTTTACGTCACAATAACATGTGACTTACATAATTCATGTGATTTTTCTTATCACGGGCGTTAGTAATCGGGAAATATAATAGTTATTTACCGACATCATCAGGGTCACGGGTGCGCCGTGACGCCTGATGATATCTCTGATTTCGCGGTAAATAACTAATACTAATTTGTTTATTTATACTTTAGAATGAATATCAAAAAATTTTACATTTTTTTCAATAAAATTAAACATCCGTTGTACTGTTACACAACTATTTTCAGATTGAATCTTCTTAGTCGGAATCACTTTCACTTTTCTTGAATTTTTTCTTCTGTTATTTCTTATTCTAAGTTTCCCTCTTTGAATTTCTTTGCTTCTTTAAACATTTGTTTACATTTACTTCGTGTAGTGGTTGCCATAAGGTATTTTTTTTATCAAATGTAAAAAAGTTTGAAGTGTTGAAAGTGTGTAACGAACGTAACGGTGAGAATATCGATTTTCGTCTGAAGTTGGAATTTCAGACGATCTTCAGGTGTCTGAAATTGAGATTCCAAGTTCAGTTAACTGAAATTTGAATTCCAATTCGAAATTCCAACTTCATCAGCTATTGACTTTTTAATAATGCTGATCATTATATGGTTAGACACTTTTCACCACCATGTGATAATCATTATATTACGTCTTAAAATAAAACGATTCAATTTAATAAACCAGCATTTAAATATTCAATAGCATATAACCTGAATTTCCAATATTGTTGATTTTTTATATTTCAAATTTTTATTTTGAAAAATTTTATTTATGATCAATACTCGAATCCTTAAATCCAATTAGTTAAATTTTCAAGGGACAAAATTCTATAAAAGCTTTTATTAATCACGATTTTGATGTTCGCATTTTTTAATGTTATTAGTAATGATTATGAAACACAGCTCATAGCGATCCGCGTCAAATGATAGTACTAAGGTCAATGAATAAGCAATATTTTAAATGAATTTAATTTTTGAAATCGTTATAATTCAATAATATAGAAATTAGAAAAAGTTAAATATTAATTATATAATTAATGCATGCAATTTCTTTTACCTTTTTTTTAGTGCCAATGCCATTACAAATTTCATTAATAATAACTATTTGTAAAATATTATAATTCATGATAAGTAATGCTTTATCATATAGTAAATTATATTGGTTTAAAGTAAGGTCAGGATTAATATAGAGGTTTAACTTTGGACATTAAATTAGAATTAGAATGGGGAGTTAGAATTCGAAGAATGTTTCGTAGATTTAGAAACGATTAAATAACCCGGGAAAGTAAGGGATGTTAATTTCCATTCTATCATGCGCATCTTTTTGGATTTTCATAATAATCACAAACTTTTTAAAAAAAATCGGATGATTCAATTTCATATAAATAACATAGAAAGATTGAATTTGTTCAAAAAAAAAAAAAAAAATGGGACTTGTAAGCACAACCTTCTTTTCAATAGGAATATATGATTTAATGTTAATTCTTTTAACATTATGCATCATATATACAAGTTACTTTTATATTAGTTATTTCACACGTGAGAATCCATTACCTGGTCCAGTCCCTTTACCCATCATTGTTAATATCTTGGATAAAGGTTTCGATGATTTCGTTGATTACACGGAACGTATGAGAAAAAAGTACGGTGACATGTTCGAAATTTATTTTGGACAAACCAAGTTCATCATGTTGAGTAAATTCGAATACATGCAAAATATGTTTGACGGTTCATCTAATTCAAAATACCTGAGGCGTGTTCCATACATACCCGGTTTGGAAGAATTAAATATTTCGGGGAAAGGGGTCGCGTTTAACCATAATGTAAATATTTGGAAATATAATCGACACTTCATTTCACGAGCGTTACTCACCCCTAGTTTCTCCAAATCTGCTGTCATTTGGACCCAAAATCTAGTTGAGGAAATGATGGGCTTTTGGGAAGATGGATCTAATAATGAAGGTTTTTTGAAACCGACATCGTAGAATGGTGTCATAGGTTCACGACGGACTCTATAAATCATTTCACAACCGGGAGGAGAATTCATATAATCGAAGCACCATTACAATGAATTGTTGGCATCACAAAATAGGAAACCAAAAATACCTTCCAAGAATGATTTGCGTGACGCCTCGATATTTTTTAGGAGCTTTAAAACTTTCATTATTGGAATTTATTTCTTCATAATCGTCCCACCTTTGGTTCGAAAATATTCCCAATCTTGGGCAATGCATCAAAAAATCATTTAAATAATCGTGACTGGTTGTTTGGCTTCCTTGATAAGATTATTAAACAGAGAAGGAAGGAGATTGAATATATCCCTCGAAACGAGCCTCTTCGATTTGACATGTTGACCTCTATGATAACCGCTAATACGGACCGTGATATTTGTGAAATTAAAATGGTCGATGAAGAACATACACAACCCATGAGCGACGAAAAGATCCGTGGCATTTTATGGGAAACAATGGTCGGTGGAATTGATTCGGTACGTTTATAATTAATACAAATGAAAAATTTTATACGTGTATAAAATTAATTAATTAATTATCTGTTCATATATTTTAATATAGACTGCAAACAAGTTTAGTTTTGTCGCTTATCACTTGGCACATAATCCTGATGTATTAAAGCGACTTCGAATTGAGCTGGACTCATTATTTGAAAAAAAGGGCGATCGACGGCTCGATCTTGAAAGTTTAACGGGTTTAGTTTACACCGACGCAATCATCAAAGAAGCATTTAGAATTTTCACACCTGCACCATACACCGCACGAAATAGCACCGCTGAAGATATCGTGGCAGGACGTGTATGGCCCGAGGGAACACAATATATCATAAATATTCATGGGGTAAATCACAACGAGAAATATTGGGATGAACCTGAAAAATTTAATCCCGACAGGCATCTCAATATGAAAATGTCACCCCCACATATAATATTTGGAGGAGGTCGTAGGATTTGTCCCGGCAGGAAGTTGGCATTCATTGAACTCAAGGTCATGATTGCCTTAATTTACCATAAATTTGACATTGAGCTATCGAACATGAATCCTCGCATAAAATTCATACTTTTTAGAAGTTTTCACGATTTAAATGTCAAAATTAAACCTAGAAAATTTTAAAGAAATACAATTTAATTTAATACAGCATAATCATTTTAAGGGTTATGATCGATACCGCGCTCGCTGCTCTTACCTAACCCAAATATGCGGACCAGAGAAGACTGCAGCTACGGTTATTGATATATATATATATTTTTTTTTAATTAATTTCTTAATAGAGATTGGATACAGGCATAATAATGAATTTCTAATAAATTTATTTGTGTGACGGTACGTTCTCCAATCTGATATTAAGCTACCATTACTCTTGTACATCATTTATTTTTATTTGTATAAATAATCCTCAATTCCATTAAAACAAATCATAATAAATCAAATATTTCAAATTTTATAAGCATTTCCAAACATCAATTAAAACTAGCAATTTAAAAGTGGAAGAAATCGAAGAAGTATAAAGATTCTTTCGGAATGTACGGTGAATGAAGTGGCGGATATTTTGACATTTACAGCATTATATCTAAAAGTTTGATGAGACTATTATATAGAAATGCAAAGAGCAAAATGTTGTTTAAATGTGTAAGCTAAGAAATTCTGACGCAACCATGAAATTATTTTCATCAAACATAACCATTCATTAAAGAAAGAATTCAATCATAAATTGTAGTTTGTCAAAAATCACTCAATATCTTCTCTTTTTTTTTTTTTTAAAAGAAACAAAGTAAATTTCATCTCTAGAATATGTTGACGTTGAAATTTTCAAGCGCACTGGGTAGTGTTCGATTTCCATTTTTCGTTGCATATTTTGATTAATCATATCATCATCGTTTACTAAGCCAAAGTCCTCCCTCCCATCGTTCTGAAATCAAATATCCCACATATCGAGAATTAGAAATTCTATTGGCACGAAAGAACTTTTTTAAATCGTTCAAAAATGTAATTAAACTGGCGCACTGATTTATTTGTCCAATAAAAAGTAATTTTATTTTTAAAAAAGAATATACAACTGTCTAACGATTTTAATGTCCATTATGTTGACTACATTATTTAATAATCAATTAAGACATTGTAATCGAATTTTGATAGTTATAAAATTTACAATTCATCCGTAAACCAAAATAAAAAATTAAAAAAAAATAAACCTTACTGCAGTAAACCAAAAAAAGGATTTGGAGTTAGGAACAGTATTCAAAACCTAGAATATATGCTTGAATACTTGATTATGAGTCCGAAAAAGAATAAAATAAAATCAAAAGTTTGTAAGCGTTAATAACAAATAAAAATATAATTATATTAAATAAAAAAATATATGATTAATAATTATAATTTAAAGTTTAAATTATTGAATTAAACTAAACAAAAGAAAAAAAAAGCATGACCATATTAGATCCCGAAAAAAAAACCTAATAAATTTAAATAAGAAAAGTCAGCTTTTAACACCATGCCGTCGTATAATTTTATTGAAAAAGATCTTAAAGGCAAAGAGCTGTACACAGCCGATGTAATTCCAAAAGACATTTACAATGAACAAACACCACTAGTAAAAATATTCACATCATTATACTTCCAAATTGACTGGTAAGTGTCTCCAAATTTTTTACCTCCCGAAAAAGATTTACAGTTTATTTCAGTTGAAAAAATATGTTTCTGGACAAGCTATCAATTACTTTATCAAATAAAATTATTTTTCTTCATCACATGTATTTGCTAATACATAAGTTTTCTTATCATTGTTACGATTCCGTAGCTTCAATTAAAATCACAAAGGGTAAATAAAACTAAGATAATTACTCAAGAATTCATGGGTGAGAATTCACAATAACGTCAAAGAATAAACTCAATATAAAAATATGTAAAATAAACACAAAAATAAACACAAAGATTTATTAGTCCAGAATTTTATATAAAGACGTGTAAATTGACCTTGAGTCGACAGAGTTTTACTCAGGGATTGAGATAAGTTTTGGGACTAAACATATATACTTTCAACCTTCTTCTTGTCTTCATACAAGGATTGATCGTGATAACTAACCACACAAGTAAATCGTTTGTTATCGTAATTTCTCTTAGGAAATACCTTTGAGAAACCTGAGATAATTGAGATAATGGATTATTTGGTTTGTTAGCTTTGTTTCGGTACAGTTCCATGGCCAATACCGTATTCTTTGTAGTAATATTGTATATTTACGTTTAGTACGATTTCTATAAAATAAACAAATTCTGTATTATTTTCAGTACAGAAACGAATTTTTGAAAGATGGATAATACTTCATTAACTTATAACAAAAAATATGTGTGCGAACTAGGCTTTATAAGAATACACGTGAAAAAAACTATCTTGATAAACAAATAAAAACAAAGCGGTTTTCTTTGTATTATTTTCTTGTCATTATATCATTAAAAATATCAGAAAAAGCTCAAGGAAAACAAATTTCGCGAAACTATGCTGGATTGATTAGAGAATCGTTAATTCAAATTGGACAACTATTTTTCTTTCTTTTTTCTGAGGTTATAAAAATGAGAGATATAAAAGTTCTACAAAAAATGTTTTAATCAGCTCAAATCATCGCTTAAAATCCAAATAGTCATGTTTTATATAATTTCTTGTTGTATTACTATTATGACAAATTTAGTTTTGCCCAATCTAGAGCTAATTGTGATCTCATCCCAAAAGGTTAAGTCAGTCCCAACATGTAAATTGCCTAGAAACTTTAACGCAGAATATTTACCTGATCAATACTTTGGCACCAATAAATATAAAAATTTAATTTAGCAAACCATTCTCACGGACTTTTTCAAAGAGTGACTTCATGGTACGTAATTTAGATTTTAATGCGAAATATCATTTTTTAATGGATGAGACACAAAAGCTACTTTTGTCGCAAAATATATAGTCAACGATGAATGAAAGGCAAATTTAGATATTCACATATTATTGTATACTTCAACTTAAAAAATGATATATATTTTTGAAATTTTGTTCTATATTTATATTGCTGACACTATAACTATGTTGTGAAGGATGAGGGTTTAATTAATTAGATTGTTATTATAATTTATAATTTATACATATATATTTTTATTTATCCTTGAGATCTATTCAAGTTTTTAACTCGATCATTTAATTCCTATAAACTAAATTTTGTAAATCAGCATTGTTAATTAAATACTGTGAAGCTACTCTGTGTAATAAAAATCTTATTTTAACGCGATTGCAGAAATGTAATTTTTTAAAAAGTACGATTTGTTTTGAAATTGATAACGAAAGCGAACCTCAAAGGTATTATCTTTGGTTTGGTTTATTTAAAAAATAAGAATAAAACTAAACACACTTTATTTGTTTTATAACATCGTAAATACAAAATCAGTCCCTTAATAATCGATAATTTTGTATATAAATTTTATTCAAATTCTATAAAGAATTTTCGAGAGAGACATATATATATATGTATAAAATTAGGCGATAAAGTCGCGATTATCAGATTATCAGATGATGAAATGAATATTTTCATAATTTCTAAAACTTTAGTCGGCACTTGTATTGCCATCATTACAACATAATCTACAAAGAATAATAATCAAATTATTCACAAATTTCATTTGTCAGCAACATTGTTATTATTTAAATTGGAATCGGTGAATTAATAATCTTTTTGATGAAGTTTCATCAATGACTTTAAGTTCAAAAATGAGTCAATAGATCTCAAGTTTGCCATACAAGTGTCAACGCTTTTTATATCTGAAATAATCCATGTATATATTTCCTAATAAATGAATCAGAATTAAGTGCTGTAAATATTCCTATATTTTTTTTTCACTACAGAATTTAGTAATATGTGGAGTGATATAGTTTTTAAACTGTTTCTTCCAAAAGACTCAATCATAATTTCAATTTATAAATATATGAAATATATGGCATATTCTTCTGTTACAATCAGCCTATGTTTCAATGGTTAGATGTATGGAGAAATTATTATTAACGGCTAAGCTATGTGGATGATTTCATTATTGACGTTTATCATTACGCTAGTATAAAAAGTCTTTTCTGTCCAAAAATGTAGTTTTTCACATTGCTTTATTGATGAATAATGAGTAATTAGTATCGATGTAGTAATAGCAAGCTGTATTCTCGTAACTGTCCGGTACAACAAAAACTACTAAAGATTTCTACAAAAAAAAGACATTTCTAGCGTTACTTCTCAAATTTATATTAAGATGTAAGCTATGATTTTTATAAAGTGAAAGCAACAGTTTACAATTACAATATGTAATATATAAAGCGAAGATTAACGAGATTTGAGAACAAGTTCTTATTAATAATAGCACTAGATTGATTTTTTCGAACCTAAACGCTATTGAAAAAATCAATTTTGATGACAAGAAATAATTTTCTTACAGAATTAGAATCCTTCGAGTTTCTCGTATTCCTTTGAAGTAAAAAAAATTATATTATAAAGCAGCCTTATATCACTCGTTACATCGATAAGTCTGTATAATTGAAAATACCTTTGTTTGCTTCCTCAAATTTATTACCTAAAGTAATAATTAAGGCACAATCACGATGATATTGTAAGATTTATCATAGTAAATATAGCGCGCGTTTATTAATTGAAGTTATTGGTGAATTCACAAGTGAATTTACATATAAAGAGCTCTATACTTGAATAAAGTTCTTTTTGTTTTTCAGTCGTTTTTAATCACCATAACTTTAGCCGGACAATGCCAAATGCCAGTAAAACTTCTGAGTATGATTTTTACTTAAATGTAACGGTCATATGTAAGATTTCTGTTATTAACAACTTTCAATAAAGAAAGGTCAACCCACCTAAGTTCACCCGGCAAGGTCGTACATATATATAATTTTTTTTTTAATAAATATCTTAAGATGTCTGCTGCGCCATGACGACCATGAAAAATTTTGGACTCTTCATTTGTGGCTTCGAAATTTTACAAATTAGAAGCTAATGATTTTCATGCAGGATTCTTTGAGTTTGACGCAGTATCAAACAAAAACTTACCAATATTGCCAAAGTATGAGTTGGATAAATATAAAAGTGTGTTAGAAAGACATAGAGGGGGTGTTTTATGAAACAAGCTCTATTGCAAATTTTACTTTGGAATTATAGTATATCGAAATATTGGTCATGATTCATTAGATTACAACACTACCATGACAAAACATCATCGGTAAACATACAATATCTGGTTTTGCTGCGGAATAAATACCACTAAGATTTAATATAATGGTAATTTTGCAAATCAATTTTTCAAATTTTTCTATTCTTCTATTGTCACACACAAATTTTATAATCATCAAAAAAGGGCATATTGAAGCATATCTGTGAATTTTCCAAATAAAGGATGAACTTTTTAAACTTTTTTTTTTTTTTTCAAAAAAAATTTTCATATTTTGAAATTAAATTAATTGATAATCATGACGTATAAAAAATATCAATTACTTTACATGTTCACTTTCATGTTAAGCTATTTATTCTTTAGAGTTGAGTCATTTACTCCTGAAAGTCGTCTTGCTCATTATACTGTCATAGTTGGAAATAAGCTGTATTTTTTTGGCGGAGCAATAAGTGATTCAACTTGCTCAAATCAAGTATTTTATCTCGATTTATCTCAATCATTTAATACAACGGCTCCACCATGGGTTTCTCTTACGCAAAATGCTGGAATACCATTCAATAGTTGCTGGGGAACCGCTTTATTGAATGATAAGGAACAAAGTATTTATTTATTTGGTGGAATTATGGAAAATGGTACAAATCAAGATTCGTTTGTATCAAGCGTTCATTCATTTAATTTGAATTCCTTATCGTGGAACGTACCTAATATCGAAGGGACTCCACCTGAAAGACGAAGAAGTATGAAGAGTGTTGTTGACAATAACGGAAATATATATATATTTGGTGGATATGTTGATCGATTTTTAGGTTCAACAACAATAAAATATTACAATGATATGGTCATCCTAAATACTGCTGAATTATCATGGGTAATCAACCCAGCTAATAAAACGTATGCACAACATAGTTATACTGCAACACTATTATCTAATGGAGTTATTATATATATCGGTGGTGTAGAAATACGTGAAGGCGCATTGGAATTGGCTGATATTAAAAGTATTAGTCTTTTTGATACAAAGACCTTAACTTGGTCAATCAAAGTATGTATAAATATTATCTTATATAACAAACAGAGTTTAAAACTTAAAATGTATATATTTTTAGCTGGCGAAATTTTCAAATATAATTGGAAATCGTTTTCGGCATACGGCAGTCTTAGGTATATAATTATAATTTATGATTTATTTTTAATCTATTTATTTATTTGTTCTTTAATAAAACAGTTCCAGATGACAAAATCATTATTTATGGGGGTGCACAAGGTTTTAATGATGCTCAAGTTTCTCCAGATTTGTTTGTTTTAAATATGGAAAATGGTGAATTTGAATTCACGGTGCCATCAGTTAATTCATATGTTGGACAGGTTCCATCTCTTACAACCCATACAGCTGATTTGTTTGAAAATTATATGATTGTAGCTTTTGGTAATGAAATCTTTTACATTGCTTTAATGAAATAATTCAAAACATTATTAATTTATTTTAATGTATTACGATAGGAAATATTACACAACCAAATTCTGAACCATTGCTAATCAAGAATCCTAATATTTATATAATGGATATTAGAAATTATACGTGGGTTAATTCATTTGAAGTAAAAAGTGCAAATGTAACGACAAATCCTGACCCATCAACAACACAATCATCAACAACTACTTCCATAGTCGTTGTTACAAATAATGCTAATAATAAATTGGTTACAATGAAGATTTTAATCGCATCAATTGGAGGAACTGTGGGCGCCGTTATAATTATGTCATTTGGATTTTTATTTTATAAATGGAATAAAAATAGGAATGAACAATTTAGACAATCTCTTGGGGAACATAATTTACCTGGAAGTATTGTTGAAAATAGGCATATCGCCTAATCAATTACTCCAATTTTAATATTTAAAAATTGTAATGAATAAATGAATAAATAATTAACATTATTTTTCTCACCATTATTATAATATTAATTTTCACAACCCCGTCAAAAGTATGACACTACATCGATCAATTAAATCAGCCTTAAGCAATCGAACTATATGTATGTATGATTCTATTATATAATTTTTTTTTAATAAATATTTCCAGTAATCTGCTACGTAAAATTTTGGATTCTTCATCTGTGATTTCGAAATTTTAAAAATCAGCATCTAATAGCAAAAAATGTATCTTCTGACGGATAAAGTCCATACATTGAGCAAATAATGGTTTTTTTTGAAGATTAGAGTAGTATCAAAACAAAACTTATCCAAAATAATTGAGTCATTAAACATTATCCTAACCCAAAAAATGTTAAGTGTTTATTGACGTAAGAAAATTTCAAATAATATAGATGTTAAAGAGTTCGTTGATTTATTTTGAATTTGGTTATGTTTGGGATGAAACGGTATTATTGGGAAAGGTGTACGAGCACTTTGAGGGAGAAAATAATGGTATTTTTGAATCTTAAGCTTTTTGATACTCATTTCCTTTGGAACATTGATTATCCAAAATACTTCTAAAATAGTTTATCACCTCTAGTTCTGACTCTCAAATACATTTAACTACAAACCTTTTAAAAACGAATATATATCATTTTTTTCTTTGCTATATTCGGCTTGATATCTTAAGCATCTGTTTACAAATTTTCAATCTTTCCGGATAAATTAAAAAAATATCATATATTAACGAAATATTCTCATGCTATTGAAAAAATTTATTGAGGTATTTGTAAAAGAAAAAATATATGTTTACCTTAATTTAAAAAAATACTGTGGTAATATAGTAATTTATTCACATATATGTTAAATTTTTTCATTAAGAAATTAATTTTAACCGAAGATTGAATGTAATATATGTAATATCAATGAATTAAAATATCGAATTATTATATCAAATATTATGATCGGATCAGTTTTGCCATGCATTTATGGGTTTGCCCAAATCTTTGAAGTCTAAAATCATTAATATTTATTAATTAATTATTTTAGCCTTAACTTATTTATAACTCCTAATCTTGATTTGCTTTATTAGAATCATTTTTTACATAATCTAAAATATTGAATAGAGTAGAGTTCGCTAGATCCATGTGATAATTCGACAAATGATCGACATGGTCGATATAAGCATGTCCGCTACCTTTCTTGCTAAAAGAACAGAATTGACAAATTAATCTTTGTCATGTTTGAGAAATTTTGAAATCATTGCATGACCTTTTTAGGGACAGATCGGTCAGCTCCGCTTCGGATCAAAACACTGTCTTTCACTATTTGAATCGGACACGTCCATAAGTCAGATCTATGACCGGCCCGAGTCGTTCTATTCAAAAATTAAATTTTCTTTATCGCTATCGCAGCACAAAATTATAACACGAGATATTTTTATTTTACACGATTCAAGAGTTATTCAGTCAATTAGACGCGTTAGTAAAGTATAAATAGGTTATAGAAAAAAGAATAAACCAAAATAATTAATGAACGAAAAGCCTGTTAACGTATTCGCATGCATTTGATTTTAATTGAAAATGATGAGTCGAACCTTATTTTTCGAAAATTTTTACATCTTCAACTAACTAAATATATAGGATTTGTTCTTACGTCGTCCATGTATATATATACATTATCATATTGACAAGAACAAATATCAGTCCGACAATTAAATTTCCTATGAAAAAAGTAAAATAATAATTTTGAAATTGGTGAAACAATTAAACAAAAATATTAGCACTTAACAATTGAAGATTCATTACCAATAAATTCTGAAGTATTAAGCATTGCGTTCAATGAGAATAAGCCAAAATTAAAATTTCATGGCATTTGTTTTACATAAAATATGTTAAATTTAGTGTAGTAAAATGGTCGGCCCTTGGTTTAACTAATTGCAGCAAATGCTGCATTTCAAAATAAAAAATTTTTTTTTCTTATTTATCATGAGATTCCAAGTTTTATTACAATCATGATTTAACCGTACAAGGAATTTTTGTTTAAAGTGAGGTATAAAATTTTCGATTTTTGGTTACACAAACCAATAATTTTAGAAAAGGCGACTTTATTATATATAGATAAGAATAAAACAATTTATTCAACTTTATAAAGACAGAATTTTTATTTGTAAAGATTTTGTTAATGGAACAAGTTAAAGAAAATATTTGGGATTAGCTTCTTCAATAAACATTATGATCAACTTGAACGTACAAGGTATATTTATTTCTAATGTTTAAATCTCAGAATCCTCATCATAAATTAAATATGAAATCGATTAGGCAGAGAATTTCAATTGAAGCTTTAAATGAATTATTTGTTCTATGAAAATTTAAGTTTCGGGACACTGACTCTTCAATGGATATCACCTGGTACGAGTCCTGGTAAAAATAAGGAACAATACATCTATAGAATTCACTTTCTTTATGGCTCCAACCAAATAACTGTCTTTGACCTAGAAATTCCGTACTGAGTATTATCGCTATATTTATAGATTTTTTATTAAATTTTATTTTAACTGAATTAATTAAATAATTGTAAAAAAAATCTAAAACGAGAAGAAATCTTAAATTAGAAATTTATTAATATTAATTTATTTAATCCAGGATTATAACTTTTTTAATAACATTTAATTTGTAGTTAGATAAATCATAGATGAACAATGTAGTTAAACTACCTCAATTATACTTATCGAAAAAAATCAAGCATATTCGAGTATGAGGTTATAATTCCTTGTTTACAACTTTTTCTTGGATTCTATTGAAAGTTACGCTAGCAGCATCCTCCCATGTAAGGTCCAACATAATATTGTGAGCCGCACCTCCAATGATATCAAAACCAACACCATAAGCTTCAGCAGTTTCTTTTATGATTTTTAAATCAAAAAGTTTATCTTCTTCGGCACCAATCACAATCATAGGACATTTAATTTTCGAAGGTTCAACAAAAGGTTTAAGAAGTTCATTCCAAACAGTGATAAAACTAACCTTTTTGAGTTTTGGATGAATATCCTTAGCCATAGAATCAGGAAATGCTTTAGAAAAGGAAAACCTTTTCATTAATTCAGGAGTTCCAATTAATGCATACGGATTTAATGTAAATAGCGCTTTGAGGATAGCAAGAATTGGCGTATTTGAAAACATTTTACGAGTGTATTTGAAGGCACTTGTTTTGTAGATGTACGGTGAAAATGAGGCAAATAAGACACCACCCGCCACTTTCTGTTGATTATTTTTTAGATAATTTTGAACAATTCCTCCTCCGATTGAATGTCTAGCAAATCAAAGAGAAATGAATTTAATATCAAATTAAAAAAATACTTTATAAATATTGATAATAATTACCCAACGAGAACAGGTTTATCACCAGTTCTAGCAATTATTGCATCAGTCACGGCTGATACATCATTTGTAATGTCATTTACTGACCACCATTTATCTTTCTTTGGAGTCTTTGTACTTTGTCCATGTCCTCGAAAACTAAGATATCATCTTTTTGAAAAATAAATTAAAAATTTCTATTCAAGCCTTTGTTTCGTGGCAATTTATTTACCTCATAGCGTAACAATCATGTCCTTTATACGAGAACCAATGACAAAAATTATCCCAAATCCAAGCCGCAAGACTTAATCCATGAATGAATAAAATTGGAGGATTATTCTATTATATAAATGTAATTATTACAATCTTTTAAATGAAATTTAGGTCTAAAATTTATTAAAAGTTTACCGATATTATATTGGCGGGAGGATAATGTAAGACTTCAAATTTTATACTTTCACTTGAGTTAACGAAAAAGGCATCCTTTTCTGTGTAATATTGACCCGAAGACATTTTAAAAAACGAATGAATGGATTTATTGATATAATTATTTATACTGTAATTATTTTTTTTTTTTGATCGACGGTAATTTATATGGGTACACTAATTTCGCCTTCAGTCTCTGATTGGTTTATGAAATTTTGATTTCTGATTGGTCGAAATATATTACGTCACATCACATGCTAATAAACTCAGTAAAATTTCCGCGTCAAATTTACTGTCCCTCCCTAACATGCGGCATTGATATAGATTTAAAAGAAAATTATACATTAAATGTAATGATTTATAGTAAAGAAATATTTCCGAAAAATTTAATACTAATATAATAAAGTGTAATGTAAATTTTTATCTATCTGAAAATTGTTAATTCACAAGGTCAATAGGGTAAGTTTACAAAATATTATTAAAAATTTTGCATATAAGAGAAAGTAATGTCATTTATTAGAATATATATCATAATTAATGCTAATAGTTTCTTTTACAAGTTATTTTATACAAACAAAATGACAAATTAAATAAAATTTTATGTAAAGAAAAATTAAAAATTATTTTATTAAACTTATCATAACCATCAACTTGTGACACATTCTCAAAATTCTGTATGAATAGCTTATATAAAAGCTTCTCTAAAGCTTCAAATATCTTGTTTTCTTATTTTTCTATTCTGAACTATTAGTAATAAGATCTTTTAAAATTACAGTATTTTTATTATTTATTTTAACATTTTCTTAATTTAAAAAAGTAGCTTGATTTGAAAAAATAATAAATTTAATATGCTTATTTTCTTGATTTTTCTTATTATTATTACAAAAATACTTATTTAACACTATAAATATATACTTATATAATAATTGTGATATTTTAAAATTATGATATATATAAGTATATAAAGTAATATCTAAATCATTATTTTTATTAGTAGTAAAACCTTTTTTAAATAGAATATTTAATATCATTATTTGTAATAAACTGTACAATCCAAACATTTTTATAAATCATTTCAGTTAATACCTTTTTAAATCTTTTAAAGTTCAATTAAAATCTTAGTAAAGAAAAATAATCTAAAAAAAAGTTGTTTTTTCTTACAATTTTTTTAATATACTACTTTTATTATCCCTTAAAGCGTAGGTATAAATTAGTCATAAATATTGTAAAAATTATAATATTTTAAAATCTAGTGATTATAAAAAGATGAAATAAAGTTTATTGGATTTTTCATATTAAGATCTATCTAATGATAGTATTTTAAAATTTTTAAAATTATTAATATATATTGATCTTTCAATTTTTCAATTTTTTAAAATAATTTATTATCTAATAATTACAAGAAAATAAAAATGATAACTCTTTCTAGCAATCTTTGACCAAGAATTTTTATGTAAAAAATGTATATATTCAAGGGTAGTCATGGCTTAGCCTACGAACAAAAAAAAATTCCTTTTTAAACTTCTTCCTCACTTTATTCTTCCTAAATCTATTTATTCTAAAAAACAGTTTTTGTTAGTCTAAATAGTAGTGTTTTTTTGTTAAAATATTTTTTTCGCCACTTCTTATAGCTATTTTTTTCATTTTTTCTTCTTTTTTTTTTGCTTACAAAAGTAAGCATCAAGGAATATCCCAAATAATAATCAGAATCAATAACAACTTTAGATCAACTAAACATATATGATGATTTTTCTATTACCTTTCTAAATAAATACACTCTTTTTAGATCTCTGACATCATAGAGCCTACTGATCTTAGCAGGATCTTTCAGTTTCTCGTAACTTTATAATTTAGACTCTGTATAATAATTGCTAGTAGCTGTAATTTGAATTAATAGACATTTTAGTATAGAAGTTTAAAAGTACTGAAGAACCTCTAATAGAACTTAATAATTATAGATACTCCTATTATAAAAGGTTGCTGTAATTAAGAATTAATCAGGCAATTTTATCTAGAAACTTGTTAGAGTCAATTTTTTTATTAGTTTCTTTTTTGGTTTAATAATAGTTCAAGTTACTTGTCTTTATATTAAAATTAAATTTAGGATAGGAATTATTATTAAGTAAAAGAAAAGGGTATAGTAATATCTAATTATCGTGTATTAATAGAGACTCTATTAATGATTATTTTTAAAATATGACAGGAGACTGATTAATCTGAAGCTAATAAATTTTTAACTTGCAAAGACGTTTTAGGTAGTTCTTTTTATTTTTTCTATTATAAATACCTGTTTTTGAGATTTTTATATATTAACTTATAGGATCTGTAATTTATAATAAAATTGAGCATTATCACATCTTTAAAAAAAATAATTACAAGAAATTAAAATTTAAATTATTGGATTTATTTAATTAAGACCTATTAAATAATTATTAGTAAATAACAATATATATAAGTTTAAAATTTTAACTTTTTTCATAATAATTTATCATATATTTATCTTTTTTTTTTTAAATTTTTACTTAGAAAATATCATAAAATTTATTATAAAAATATTAATTTTTAAATAAACTATTTTAAAAATATTTAAAATTATTATAAACAATTTTAATTATTAAATAAAATTGCAAGTAAATTGCTTGAAGGGATAGTAGATAATAGACTCAATCAGCTAATATTTAATTTATTTAAAAATACTAAAATAATTATATCTTAGAAAATGATTTTTGTAAAAATATATATTTCATTATTAAATTGATATTCTAAATACTTTCTTATATAATAGGATTTTAAAATTTACTAAGTACTTAAATTAAAAATTAATAAAAATACATATTTTTTATTTATTAATTGATTTAATAATTTATTTTTATACTCTAATATCATTCTATTCTTTTATTTTATTAGCAATTATAAGTCTTTCTAAATAATTTCTTTATGTAAATTAGTAAACACATTATGTTTACATGATTTTTTTTACTAAAAGTGCTATTATAAAAGTAGTATAGCAATACTATATTATTCAAAAAAAAGTTTCGATTATTTTTATTTCTTCTTCTACATTATTTATTATAAAATATTTAGTTTTCATATCTCATTCTTATGGACTAGAAAATCAAACCACCTATTATTATTACTAAATATTTAAATTTACTTATTAAAAATGCAATCAGATATCTGCTATCCATTAATAGATAACATATAATAAATATAAAAAAAAAATAATATTTATAATGATTTATCTTATATATATTATCTAAATATAATATTCTTGTAAATTTCATTAATTTTTAACATTTTTGTTCTGAAATACAAATATAAATCTATAATTATTTATTTTATTATAATATTCAAATAACTATTTCTACTCTTAATAATTATTTTATTTTCTATATTTCTAAAGATTTTATTTAAGTAGTTTAGACAATAAAATTTTATATTTTGTAATAAATGATATCATTCATTTAATAAAATCACTACAAATCTAAAATAAAAGATTATAAGCAATTTCTTTAAAGTTTTTTATAATTTTTTTATTTTTATGATTATTATATACTAATTATATATAATCTTCTCATTCACAATTCTATTTTTTTTTATAAAGATCATGATACTTCTCATAATATAAATTTTACATAAACTATACTTATTTTTGTTTATTTTGTAGTTCTTTTATAATTTTAAATATATCTATATAAGTTTAGTCTACTAATATTTTCTATCTTCTATATCAAGCTTTTATATTATTTTAAGTTCTTAAAAAAGAATATTCTATATTATTAGTAATAGACTAAAGTAAAGGTGAAAATAATGATTCAGATTAAATTATATTTCTATTTTTTAATGTATATCTAATTTTTTCATATATAATAATTATCAAATCAGTCTAAAATTTGGCTTACTTTTGCTAGCATTTTAGTTTAATTCATTAAAAGCTGCAGGAATTTAATTATGAAGTAAAATAGTAAATGTTGAAATAATAAATTAAAGTTTTCATCAATTTCATACTGAATAATGAGACTAAATTAAATACTTTATAATATATATTTAAGATAAATAAAAATGACAACCTGTATTATACATTCTTTAAAATTCTGCATAAATGGTATTAATTGCAATTTATTCAAATAAACTGTAATTATAAATTAATATTATACTAATCATTAAAATTAATTAAATTCTAAATTAATTTTCTATAGCATTTTTCATATTTGTAAAATATTAATGCAAATACTAATAGCATAATCTATGAATTTTCATCTCTATCAATATGTCTATAAATTGTGTATATATAGGCTAATTTGTCTTACTTCGTTTATATTACCTATAAAAAATGATCAATCATCAATCTGTCGATTATTGCTATATTTACTTTATATATATAAATATTATATATTGAATTATCTATTAGATGAGTCACAAATTATAGTAATAAATAATAAATCTTTACGCAAAACTATTCTAATATTTATAATGACTTCCACTTTCACTTTTTTCTATTTGCTATATTTTAAAACTTATGATACAAAGAAAAATTGCAGAGTCATGAATGAAATAATCATAAAAATAATAAACTCATTCTATATCATTATATACTTTGTAAACCGTCTGATGATACTTTATCATTTTATCAAGATATAGTAATAATTCGCTTAAAGAACAGTCTTAGATTTAATAGATATTTAATTAAAAAAAAGCATATAATAGTTCACGTATTTCCAAAAAATATTTTTTGTCTCTATTTGAAAATGAGAAAAGTTTTAAATAATTACTAAGTCAATAAAAATATCAATGTATTTTAAAAGGTAATAGAAGAGAAGAAAAGTTAAAACATATATTCAAATATAATGAAATCATATTTTGTGAAAATTTAAATACTTCAACATAGGATTATATTTTATTTAAGGATAATAATGGCCAATATAAAGTAACTTTTAATTAAAAGTAAGAAAATCATAAAGAAAATAATATACTTTTTTAACTGGAACTTTATTAATTAATTTTATTATTAATTCTAAAGAATTTATAAATGAGTAAGTATATATAGTTAAATTTGAATATTTTATAAAATATTTATTTATAGTACT